AACACCGTGGCTCTCAGTGTCTCCCTCTGTAATACAAAGGGGTGGGACTGGCTGCTGTCTAAAGGTGCTTCAGACCTTCAAATTCCGGGAAACAAACACAAGCCCACAACGTCTCTGACAAAGCCAGCAGGAAAACATTCCCTCCGTGAAAGTCTCAGCAAGAGCAAGACAAAGCATCTTGTTACTTAATAAGACCCGTGTATTCTTTTAACCAAGAACCACTCCACAGAAGCCTAAACTAGCCATGTTGTTGTTGCACTCTATTTTTAGGAGAAATAAGACATATATTTAGGGATGAGCACACATTCAGACTTTGTATTCAGTCTGTGTATATACTCTAACCCTAAGCAAAGAAAAACAGGATTGAAAACAATGGGTTTTGAGCACTAAGAATACCTCAGTTATTGAGGGAAGATTTAAGATCACACAGAGTTCATTCTACACTATATTTAAATTTATTGTATTTATTTTTTAAAGTTTTTAAAAAGATTTTATTTATTTTTAGAGATAGGGGAAGGGAGGGAGAAAGAGAGGGCTGACTGGGAATTGAACTGACGATCCTTTGGTTCACAGGCCAGCACTCAGTCAATCCACTGAACTGCACCAGCCAGGGCCACTCTACATTATATTTAAAGGTTTGTGATAATATTAACTCAAAATGACAATGGGTTTTTAAAAAATTTCTAAATATGTAAGTTACCTTATCAAATTAGGATTAACCAAAATAAAATTCTAGAGAACACCTTTTAGTAGCAAAAAAAAAAAGTGCAATTGCTAAGTAGCATTTTAGTCTTGAGATTACAAGTCCTGGCCAAAGAATACTGCCATTTATTGAGCACCTAATACATGGCAAGAACTGGCATGGATGTTTTCTATGGTTATAAGATAGTGTCATGGAGAGACTTTCGGTCAAGGTGGTGATGTAGGCAGACATGGCTCACCTCTTTGCACAACAACTAAATCACAGCTAAACTATAGGACAGCCATCGCTCAGAACTGACAGAAATTGAGTTGAATGGAAGTCTGACAACTATGGAATTAAAGAAACCACATCCATCCAGACTGGTAGGAGGGGCACAGATGTGGAGTGGACTGCTCCCACATCCACATGTGGTGGGTGGAAACTCAGAAGGGATGTTTCAGGAGCGAGAAGCTCCAGACCCACACCAGGCCCCCCATCCCAGGGCTCCAGCACCAGGAAAATGAGTCTCCACAACTTCTGGCTGCTAAAACCAGCAGGGATTGAATTGGTGGAAGCCCCAAGCAGTTTCCCTTAAAGAACCCACATACAGACTCACCTACTCAGATTCACTCACTCTAAGCTCCAGCAACAGGGTAGCAGCTTGAAAGGCACCAGTGGTATACAGGGAGAAACTGCAGTGTCTGGCAACAAGGTGAGCAGAGGCTTTTTCTAAGATGAAGGCCTCTGCTCCCACAGAGCCAGCAGACTGGTACTGTATCTAAGATTCCATCAACCTGGCTAACACTGACCCACCTTAGAGATCCCCAGAGACTCCGCCCCACCCAATTTACAGGTCCCCACAAGCTGCTTTTCCATATGAATGGTCTTAGCTTATGCTATGCTTAGTTTATGCTTCACAACTTCCTAAATCCTCTCAAAGTAGCAGCAGCTGGCCTCAGTGAGAACCAGGCCCAGAATTAGCAGCCTAGATTCATTGCTTGGCTTCTTCTGAAAAATCTCCAAGCCCAGCACAAGTAGTAGCAGCCATCTTAGACTGCTTTATAACTCAGGCAGAGTGGCCCGGGCAAAACACAGGTGGGGGCTGATCTTGACCTGCACCATCTGGGAAACCCCAGGGACCAGCACACCCAGTGGACAGCTACAGACCACACAGAAGCACCTCCACCCTGCCCCTGCACAGCTGATCTTCCACAGTGGGGTGGAGGTTGGTGGAAAGTGGTCACACACAATCCTTGCAGCTGACTGGCCTGGATGAATCCCTCCCATTGGTCTGCCAACAGAAACCAATGCTCAACTACAAGAGAAGGGTATACTCAGCCCACACAGAGGGTGAACCTAGAGTACCCAGCTTGGGTGATAGGGGAGGCTGTGCCACTGGACCCTACAAGACACCTACTACATGAGGCCACACTACCAAGACACGGAGTCAAAGCAGCTCTATGTAATACATAGAAACAAACACAGGGAGACTGCCAAAATGAGAAGGAAAAGAAACATGGCCCAAATGAAAGAACGGATCAAAACTCCAGAAAAAGAACTAAATAAAGTGGAGATAAGCAATCTATCAGATGCAGAGTTCAAAACACTGTTTATAAGGATGCCCAAGAAACTTACTGAGGACCTTAAGATCATAAAAAAGACCCAGTCAGATTTGAAGGATACAATCATTGAAATAAATAACAATTTACAGGGAAACAACAACAGAGTGGACGAAGCCAAGAATTAAATCAATGATTTGGGACATAAGGAAGAACAACCAATCAGAACAACAAGAAGAAAAGAGAATCAAAAACAAACAAGGAGAGTGTGAGCAGCCTGTGGGACAACTTTAAGCAATCCAACATTTGCTTCATAGGGGTGCCAGAAGGAGAAGAGAACAAGCAAAAATTTGGAAATATATTTGAAAAAATAATGAAAGAAATCTTCTCTAATTTGTTGAAGGAAATAGACATGCAAATCCAGGAAGCACAGAGTCCCAAACAAGATTAATGCAAAGAGGCCCACTCCAAGACACATCATAATTACAATGCCAAAAGTTAAAGGCAAAGAGATGGGAGGGTGGGTATGGGAGGATGGGTGAAGAGGTGAGGGAATTAAGAAGTACAAACAGGTATTATAAAACAGCCATGGGGGTGTAAAGTACAGTGTAGGAAATGGAGCAGCCAAAGAACTTACACGCATGACCCTGGGACATAAACAAGGGTTGGGGGTTGCCAGAGGGGATGGGGAGGGTATTGGGTGGAGGGGGGCTAAGGGAGAAAAATCAGGACAACTGTAATAGCATAATCAATAAAATATAATTTAAAAAATAAGACAGTGTCATGGAGGGAACTGGAAGTCTTGTGTCACAGAGCTCCAGCCACACTTTCCGATCCGTTCCTAGCAGAGTGTCCTCCCTGTCCCTGTGCACTCCTCAACATGAAGGGTGGCGTCCAACCTTAGCACATTGCCCTGCGCCTTCATTGCGCCTGCTTGGAGTTCTGAACTGTGGTGGAAAAGCTCTGTAAGTCATTCCTCTTTTTTAGTTTCAGATCAAAACCCTTCATTTCAAGTTAGCAAAATGAAAAGAGAAGAAGTGACACTATAAAAACTTGAAAAAAGAGAAAATAGAAAAAAGAATAAATAAAAAAAAGAGAAAATAAACACAGCTCAGTACCTTATAAAAATCTTCATGAGTCCAGGAGTGTTTTGATTCAAAGGAAGTTACTTAACCTCCACGATTCAGGAAGCATTTAATGAATAGCAAAAACACTATTTATATGGTAATGATTTGTGCTTTTTAGAAATCTAACATCATCCTCAGATCCTTCAAAAATCCTGTGTAACCATCTTCCATAGGCGATGCCTGTATTTAGAACTGTGTCTGACAACACTGGTGCTCATTTCTCAAGAGCTTGCTCAGTATTACCAATGCTTGCTATAGGCCTCTGTCAGAGGAGACACGTGCCTTCACATGTTCTGATTACAAGTTTCCAGCCCCTTCCTCCCAGAGCGCAATGTCTCAGCACTCGTGCTAGGGTGACCCCCTCCACAGAGGTTGCAAATTCTAGTGCATATTAGCTGATCAGTCCCAGCTCTTAGCAGGTTCCGTGAGCAGATCCTCCAAAAAATTTTTAAGGAAAGTAGAATGTAGAAACTACCACATTTTTAATTTTTGGAAACACTGAATATAGTAAAATAGTAATAAAGAAAATCAAACTATGTGTGAATCACTGTCTGAGCTCCCAAAAGCCAGTTTTCTGCCCAGATTCCTCCTTCGAGTTGCAGCTCCAGCTTCCATTCTGGGGTCCTTCGAGGCCTGGTGTTCAAGATGCACCTTCTTGATGAGATCCTGGGGACTGTAGTGAAGAAATCCAGGAGGAAAGTCACTGGGTCCTTCTGCCTCACCGTCACTGTAGGTGTGTCACAGGTGAGCAGCGTCTGATCTTATTCAGTCAGCTCCTTATTTGACGCTCACTCATTATGCAGATATTTCCACTGGTTTCCAAGGGCAGGAGAGTTTGCCGTAGCTCCTCTAAAACACTTCTTTACTCCCTCAGTAGCCATCCACTATCATGTCTTCTTTGCGGTCATTAAAACCTTCAGTAAAACCCACACCAGTTCTCGGGGTTTGGCTCTGATATCTCTAATAGGGGTTCTGAAATCGCCAAGGCAACAGAGGCACTAAGCCAAGGCATGCACTTGAAATGGGGTCAAGGGATGGTTGCACTTTCAGCAATATGAAGAGAGGGCTCCTCTGTTAAAAGTCTGCTAATCAGTTCCCATCTTTCATGATGAACTAAGGAAAAGAAAGAAGTGACTGAATTTTCACTGGGCAGAAAATTTGCTGTGGGGCCATGCAGAAGTAAATCTGTGCTAATTTGTATGGGTATGGAATATGTATCTTTATAATTAACTCTATAAGCATCTCCCTCAACCCAAAACTTTCTTGACTACAGAGTCCCATTGCATTGAGACAGAGCAGGTATAAAGCCTCATGTACGTGGATCACACAGAGTAGTAGGTAGGGAAGCTGCACCCTTTCTAGGAGGAATAGCTAAGGGCCTCGTTGACGCTTCCACGGGAGAGCAGGATGGAGACCTCTGCGAGGGTGAGAGTACACAGGAAGTGGCCCCGCACAGGTGACTCTCCAGGCCAGCTGGAGGACCACGGGAGGCCTACTCCTACACATATCATATATATATGAACGATTATATCATATATATGTGAACGTGAAAGGTTACAGGTTAAGCAGCTTGGTGATTTTCAATAGCATTGTGGGAGCCTTGTTTCTTTTTTTTTCTTTAATGTGGTTTCTTTAAAAGATAAATGGAATGAGGGCTTTCCGAAATTTGGGGTAGTCCTCAAAGATCTTGAGGTAGAACCTAAAAGATAAGAAACAAAAAATTGTAAATATAAACAATGTTTGGGGGTTGCTGGGTCTAAAATCCTACTTGTAAGTCAACCTACATTTATTCAGGGCCTGACTCTTGCTGATGGCCATTTGTCCACCTTCTGTCTCCCTCCTGCATCCTCCTCCTATAAATGTTAGAGCTTCATGTGTTGGGAAATATGAACAATGAGAGGGCAGCAGGGATGGTTGCACAAGATCATGAATGTGCAACCACTGAATTGTATACCACTGAACCACTGCACCACTGCAACCACTGAATTGTGCAACCACTGAATTGAAAATGGTCAATTTTGTCAAGTATGTTTTACCACAATAAAAGAAAATGTAATAGCCAGAAAGAAGTACTCCACTAACTCAGCTGGGAAATGTAGGAAACAAGAGACCCCAAAGGCTATGGACAAGGTTAACCCTAGAAACATATTCCCAGGGAAATATCCCTTCATAAGGCCTGGGATGCCAAGAAAATGCTACCTTGCATTATGGGTTGAATCGTGTTCCCACAAAATGTATGCTGAAGTCCTAACCCCCAGTATGTGAGACTGTGACCTTATTCTGGAAATAGGGCCATTGCAGGCATAACTTATTAAGTTAAAATGTGGTCATCCTGGAGCACGGCTGGCCCTTAATCCAAATAACTAGTGTCTCAGGAGAAGGGGAGAAGAGACACAGAGACAGAGACACAGGAAAAAGGCCATGTGAACGCAGAGGTGGGGAGTGGAGTGATGCAGCTATGAGCCATGGAAGACCAAGGTGGCTGGCCTCCACCAAAAGCCAGGAAGAGGCGAGGGGGGATTCTTCCCCACACCATCGTAGGGGACGTGCATGGAGATCAGATAGCATGATTCCTCCAACTTCGCTCTTCTTTCTCGAGATTGCTGTGGATATTCAGGGTGTTTTGTGGTTCCGTATAAATTTGTGGATTATTTGTTTTAGTGCTGTGAAAAACGTCATTGGTATTTTGATAGGAATTGTGTTGAATCTACAAATTGCTTTGGGCAGTATAAACATTGTAACAATGTTAATTCCTTCTATACACAAGAACAGTATATGCTTTCATTTATTTGTATCTTCAATTTCTTTCCTCAGTGTCTTATAATTTTCTGAGTATAGGTCTTTTACCACCAAGGTTGGAGGAATCACACTACCGATATCAAGCTATTCTATAAGGCCATAGTAATCAAAACAGCATAGTACTGGCATAAAAATAAACATATAGATCAATGGATCAGAATAGAGAACCCAAAAATAAACCCACATCTATATGGTCAATGAAGGTTTGGCCAAGGAAGCAAGAACATACAGTAGGGTAAAGACAGTTTATTCAATAAATGGTGTTGGCAAAATTGGACAGATACATAAAAAAGTGAAACTAGACCATCTTCTTACACCACATAAAAGAATAAACTCAAAATGGATTAAAGACTTAAATGTGAGACTCAAAATCATAAGAATCCTAGACGAAAACATAGGCAGTAAAATCTCGGGCATTTCCCTTAGTAATATTTTTTCTTGATATATCTCCTTGGGCAAGGGCAACAAAAGCAAAAATAAGCAAATGGGACCACATCAAACTGAAAAGTTTTTGCACAGCAGAGGAAACCATCAACAATATGAAAACACAACCCACTGAACAGGACATATTCATCAATGCTAACTATGAGAGAATCAAGCCACTCAGTTTGTTGGCATCTGTGTCGGCCACCCGGGGAGACTAATACATCTTGTAAAAAGGCTTTCTACTTAGGTGGCCTGGCTCTCCTCTTGAAACTGGTCGCTCTCAAGTTATGATCACAATACGGTCTGTTAAAGCTCCTTAGTCTGAAGTGGGGGACTGCTAGTAACAATACATTACAAGGCGTGGCTGGACTTGGGTGCTGCGGTGAGAGGGATGTGGCGAGCTGCCTCCCGCAGAGCCCAGTTAGCCCCATAAAAAAAGACACCCTCTTGCTCTCCCTCTGGAAGTGCTGGCAAAAAAGGATAGGGGCTCAGTCTGGATTTCGTCGTTGCACAAGCTGGAACCCTTGGGTGCAACTGCTGTCCCTCCCGTGACCAAGTCTGGCTAAGTCCGTGTTTCTCAGGGCCCCTCCCTCAAACACCTTGCCAATGCCCTTCCTCCCACTCCCTCTCGGCCTCTGGGGCATGGCGACAGACCCAATCTGAGGCAGGGGAACTGCTACCCTGACTCTCAAGCCCCCACCACAAGTCTAGGAGGCAGCAAGAACAGGTCATGAGGAGAGCTGCTGTCTCACTCATTTCTGCAGGGCTCTGCATACATTCCACACTGGGGAGAAGAATCCATTCTCAGTGTAACCTTCAAGACTCTGCAATTAATCAGTAGCTGCACTAAAACACCTCTGCAGGAGCTTACAGGGTTCCCCTGGGTCCTGGTTCCAAGTCTGTTTCCCTCCCCTCCAAATTCTCTCTCTCTCCTTCCCACTCTCCCTCTCCCTCCTTTCCCCCATCCCCAATAATCACAGGCATTCTCTTTCCTCCAACTACAAAAGCCATTTTAGAGAAAGGACCAGAAATTTGCATTTAAAGCCTGATAACAACTTGGTATCTTACCCTTTCCCTGCCAGTGATACTTCTGGTTAACCCTCTTGTCCCCCTCATCCCAGGTGCAGGGGCTGGGAAGCAGGTGGGGGCTGGGAAAGCTTCAGGCTAGACCTACAGAGGAAAGGTTCTAAACCCCAGCAAATCTCCCAGCATTTCCCAGGTGATCAGACTGTCCTGAAATTGTGTCACACAAGTAATTGCTTCCTGTGCCTTCCAGGAAGCCAGCAATGACCTTGGCTATGGTTTATGGAGGGTGGGGAGAGAGGCAGGAGGAGAGCACCAAAATAAGCCCTGGTATTACATGGATTCCAAGGAAATGGTCCTGCAGTTTCCAGGAATCTGTGATGACCTGAACTGTTAGCACCAAACCTAGAATTAAAAATAGCAGCCACACTGGGCCCAGGGCTGGTGCTTTTCCCTGGGGGCTCTCTATCCTGGCTATAGCTCAGAATTATCTGTGAAGCTTTAGGAAGAGCTGAGCATGGTCCCATGCATGGAACACACATTGAGAAACGTGACCGAAGCGAACTGAATTAAAGCATGGAAATGGAAGCTGTTTCTTACACCTCCTGACTCTTGCCAACCCGTGGCCATCACCAGCGAAGCCTGCTGGAAGGGGACAAAGACTGAGCCCACTGACCTGTGTGGACACAAGGCACTTTTCTCTGGGAAGTCTTCTTTGACAAGGTGGCCCAGTGGCTTCCCAAGTCACCTGGAGGGCCTTTGTCTACCTGGGTTCATTTTTGCTCATAGGAAAACAGTTGTTATTGCTCTCCCACCTGAATTCCAACTTCAGGGAAAGCCCAAGAAGTCAGAATCCACCACTACAGATTACAATAAAACAAATGTCTTAGGTTTCTACGTCTGACCCGGTGTGCTAAGAGCCCGTTTGCAGTGGGAAGCTATTTGGATACTGCCACCTTGATTGGAAAGTTTACCTATGGTGGTGAAAAGCTCGCAGCCCAAGGAAACAAAGCGAGAAAAATGCAAATGCAAGTCCTGGGAGGGACCAGGTGGCCAGGGCAAAGCCGATCCATTCGATGATCTCACCGAGGAAATTGGCTCCTGAAACGTATGTGAACAAGCCACCTGTGTGCACAAGAATGCAAAGTCAATCGTCAGAACGGGATCGTCGGGACATTAAAACCCCTATGCATGCATGTGCATATGATGAACGTGGGGCCGGTCACCCTCTTTCCAGTCATCACCATCTAGTGCAATCCACTTGGGAACAAAGGAAAACAAAGTGACAGCAGCCTGCTGTCCGCGGAATATCCTGGAACGTGAGGATGGCCCCAGCTGCCTGACAGGCTCCCTCCAGATCTCTAACAACTGCAGGAGCCCCGACTCTGAACAGGACAAGGATGAGGGGCGGGAGGCCTAGGCTTTGTCCCATTCTATTAAGTAACGTTTCCAGGCCACCTCTCACCGTTTCTCTGTCTCCTGGACACCCACACTGCTGGTCAGCATAGTTCACGGTCATGGTCACACGGGGTAAAACAACAGACCAGGTGAAAACTGTAATGCCGATGTGAGAAGTAATTCGCTTCTCCTTTGGCATTGGCCCTCCCACAGTGGCACACTCCGCTGGAGTTTAACGGAGGGTGGGAGCCGCGGGGTTTGGGCCTCCTGGAGCCCCGTGAGCTCTGCTGCAACCGATTCTTTCAAGGTTTCTTCCTATCTAGCCACATATTCTGACAACAGAGCTCTCTTAGAAATCACCGTATTTCTAATCAAAGTAAATGTATCTGCACTCGGAATTTCTGCCCCACACCAAACTGGCAAAGTGTCACCTAAAACAAATATTTTTCTTTCCGTGGTTATATAAAGAGTATTTTGTGTTTTTTTTAAAGCATTCTCTAATATAAGCCTATAGTCGGAAACTAACCTTGGCAATCTAGCTTTTAAGAGCTTTCCGTGCCCCTCTTTGTCTAGTGACGGAGTGGAGATTTAAACTCGGAAACCCCTGAAAGTCGCCCTCCTTAAGGATGGCGCTGCCTCAGCGGGTTCCAGGCCGCGCTTCCCCAGGTGCTGAGAGGAACCGCTGACCTGCTGAAAGGAGTCTATAAACTGTCCATGAAGAGACCAAATGATACATCTCAACCCACGCTATTATTTTTGTTCGATGCACGTACTGGTGGGGTGTTAGCAACACTTACATTCATTTAAATGTGCTATTAAATTCATAGGAGCTTTGTCATTATTTTCTAATCAATGACTATTAATCTGCACTAACACCATTTCATAATTTATAAAAATTTTTTTAGAGAAAGAGAAGGGGAGGGAGGGAGAAAGACAGGGAGGCAGACACTGATGTGACAGAGAAACATCGATGATTTGCTTCTCGTATGAGCCCCAGCAGGGGACCAAACCCATGAGCCAGGCGCGTGTCCTGCCAGGAAACTGCACTGGCGACCTTTCACTTTGCAGAATGATGCCCAACCAACTGAGCCGTGCCAACCAGGGCCGGGAAAATGTTTAGTGTACTGGGTTCTGTTTACATAAAAAATGACGGGGCCCACAATCTACACAAATACATACCCAATGATATTGGACTGCTTGCACTGATTCGCTCCCACTTGCTTATATTAGCTCACACCCCGATTTCTTGGGAGCAGTTAGGATTTGTTTCTGAAAATGCACTTGTGAGACAGTGCATCCCAATTTCTGATTAAGTAAATATGGTTCTTTGTACCTTTGAGAACATAATACAAGTGGCTGGAAATACACAAGGACTACCCCGACTACTCATTAGATAAATCTAGTGAGACGGATGGAGAGGACAGGTTTGCTGGGCGTGCATGATTCAGCTCTATTTGCTAACCTAGGAAATACCGACTCTCTTTTCAAACACGATGGTTAATGTTTGTGTCACTTACATGGGCCACGGAGTGCCCACATATCTATCTGGGTAAAACCTTAGTTTTGGGTATGTTCATGAGGATATTTCTGGATGAGATTAATATTTGAATTGGCGGACTGAGTAAAGCAAATTGCCTCCCCCAAGGCGGGTGGGCCTCAGCCAGCCCACGGAAGCCTGGATAGAACAGACAGCGGAGCAAGGAAGAACTCACTCTCACTGCCTGACTGTCTTCAAGCTGCGGCATCGGTTGGTTTTCTCCCGCGCTCTGCCAGGAACTTACCCCACCTGCCGTCCTGGGCCTGCGGCTTACGCATGGCAGATCATGTGGCTTCTCAGCCTCCAAAATCATGTAAGCCAATTCCTTATGATAAACAATACAGATCTATATTCCTATCTATGTCTTATTGGTTCTGTTTCTCCTAAGAACTCCAGTACAGCACACGATAGTCTCACCAACTTCAACGAGGCAGCAGTCAATTTCCACCCCACACAAGCCTCACTCTCCCCACCCGTATCTTCAGGGCTCTGTGACCTGGCACCTTCTGAGAACCCTTGTACCTCTCTTGAACTTCAGGGTTCAGATCTGAAACATAAATGTGTTGTGGGTTGGGATGGGACGTGGAGAAGTCTCTAGAGAGTCCCCAAGTTGGGATACATTGTGTCATTTGCACCCTCACTGCACACTCTTCGTTTGTCACTCACATCATAATCCCTGGGACGGGCTCAGGGGGAAGGGTGGGAACTGGAGGGCAGGGGAGGCATTACCTTGTGGAATCTTATAGATGATTTCTCCAGGCTTCCGGAGCTGGTACAATATATAGTCACTGTGAATGTTGATGCCCATGCCAAAGATAAATAGGAAGACACCTAAGCAAAGAAGAGAGAGGGAAATGAAAAAAATGCATCCTGATTTTGATGTTTTTCTCACAAGCTAAGTTTTTTTTCGTCCTAAAAATGAAAGGAAGAACATTACATTTCAAATGCTAAGAATGGCACTAAGATGTGGCAAATAAAAGAGGGAGATGTAGCTGTCCCCACGTGAGCACACACAGAACTTGCTTTTGTTCATTTTCCTTTGCTCGTGTGGCTTTTTGTTTATTTTCCTTTGTTCGTGTGGCTCCAGAGCATGCCACTGTGTACATGTACCTGCATTTGCACAATGAGACCTCTGGTTGTGCGTGTTCTCAAATGTTTGCTGCGGCTGCTGCATGGAGAGGTGTCACTGAAGACCAGGTTCGTGTGAAGGTCACCGGAGCAGCTCTGGCAAGAGGTCATGTGACTTGGACTAGGATGAACTCAGTGCATTTCAGGAGAAATGAGCCTCGTTGGCACAAATGAGCCTCATTGGGAGCTAGGGGCAGCAGCTCTTCGCTGGTAGAGAGAATCTGACGTGTGATGTGAAGAGAACGATTGAAGGAAATCCCGAGATTTTGGGTCTGAGCCAAACTAATACGTAAACAAGTTGAACCTTCCTGGATTTTAGTTCCTCTTGCAGATAACGAAACAAAGTCAATGATCAGGTTTTTCAACAGTTTTAGAAAGGTGCTCAGGAAAACTCCATGAGAGGATGCGTGAATTGAAAAAGACCTAGATAAAGTGAGGGACAAAGCTGCGTGACAATATAGGGTCAGGGCAGTCTAGGCGGAGGGCGTGGTCTGCACAGAAAAAGCTCTGGAGCAGGACACACTTGGCCATTTAAAGCTCAGCGGGAAGGCCACTGAGGCTACAGCACAGCCAATGAAGTGGATGAGACAGGAAATAAGGTCGGGAAACCGGGCTGAACCAAGGACATGTATGTGGGTTTCACAGGCAGTGGTAAGGAATTTGCATTTTATCCTGCAGTCTCACTGGGGAGTTCTGAGATGAGGAATGACAGGATGTTTTACACAGCTCTCTCAGGCTGCTGTATGGAGAAAAGACTGGGGTGGGGGTCGGAGAAGGGGAGAATGGGATCACTGAGAGGTCACTGTAATAGGGTGGGGCGAGGTGATGGTGATTTCGACTGGGCGGAGCCATGCTAGGTGTAGAGTGGTCAGGTCTGCTTACCCAGGATAAACCGTATGTCTGTGTACCACTCAGCAGGGTAGTCAGCGCAGTAAATCAGGTAGTAGCTTTGCAGGAATCCATTTCCCATGCAGAAGACAAAGCCTTTGATAAGTATCCCAATTGGAAAAGGCCTCCCTCTACTGAGGAGGGCATAAATAAATGTCCTGGGATATACAGGGGACAAAGGTCAGGATCGTCATTACAAATATATATATCAATGAGAGGCAAAGGTTTCATATAGATAATCACATCAAATCACATCAAATCAGGATCGTCATTACAAATATATATATCAATGAGAGGCAAAGGTTTCATATAGATAATCTAAAAACGATTTTCCCCTAAATCTGTGCAATGAATAAACATTATCCCGCTCTAAAACAAGCATTTATATTTGTCTTGTTTCATTAAAATCCATTGTAGTCACCATTCATTATCTTATTTTAGTCTTAGAATAGTCTTGACCTGGCTGGTGTAGCTCAGTGGATTGAGCGCAGGCTGCGAACCAAAGTGTCGCAGGTTCGATTCCCAGTCAGGGTACATGCCAGGGTTGCAGGCCATGACCCCCAGCAACCGCACATTGATGTTTCTCTCTCTCACTCTCTTTCTCCCTCCCTTCCTTCTCTAAAAATAAATAAATAAAATCTTAAAAATAAAAAAGAATAGTCTTGAAAGGTCAATGTCATGACCATCTAGTACTTAGTAAATTCAATCCTAGGAGCCCAGGGTTGGATGCTGTGCTCTCTGTAAAGCAGAGAAGCTCTGATGATATGGGAAGAAAGGTAAAGCCAGGTGCTCCTCATCTGCTGGGGGAGTGGCATTGTGGCAGCAGCCCCTGGGCTGTGTGGTTTTGCATCGTGTCTCTCCTGTGTGATTTAATGACTGATGTTGTAGCCTTCCCTCCAGAGTGGCTGCAGAATCCCTTGAGGGAGCAGAAACTTCCCTAAATGGTAGGAATTATAAATCTAGAGGAGTCTAGGAAGAAGGGCCTAAAAATATCAATAGCTTAGCCCTGGCTGGCGTAGCTCAGTGGATTGAGGGCGGGCTGCAAACCAAAGCATCGCAGGTTCGATTCCCAGTCAAGGCACATGCTTGGGTTGCAGGCCACGGCCCCCAGCAACCACACATTGATGTTTCTCTCTCTCTCTCTTTCTCCCTCCCTTCCCTCTCTAAAAAAAAATAATAATAAATAAAATCTTTTAAAATTTTTTAAAAAATAGCCTCAAAATAAAATATTGCCCAAGGTATGCGCTAAATTCTATACTTCAGATTATAAATTATCTTTATAATTTGTCTTCTCTATGGTGCAATGTAACAGGAAAGTTTATAAGCCTATACACATAGTTTAATAAATAACTATCAAATAAGTACCCAAATAGTCACTGAGTCAAGAAGTAGAACACTGTCATCACCTAGGAAGCCTTCCACGGGTCCCTCTCTGTTCACAGTACTACCATCACCCCAGAAGTAACTATCGTCCTGATTTTTATGACAATCATTTCTTTTTGCCTCTGTGTAATTTTACCACATTGGTATGCATCCCTGAAAAAAATAGTTTATTTTACTCATTCTTAATTCCATATGAATTGAACAATATTCTATGATTCTTAATATAGCCTTATTTATTTATTTTATTTGTTTATTTATTTTTTAGAGAGGGGAGGGGAGGGAGAAAACGAGGAAGGGAAACACCAATGTGTAGTTGCCTCTCCCGTGCCTCCTACTGGGGACCAGGCCTGCAACCCAGGCATGCGCCCTGACTGGGAATTGAACCAACGATCCTTTGGTTCGCAGGCTGGCACTCAATCCACTGAGTCACACCAGCCAGGGCTCTTAACATATTCTTTAATGTCTTAGTTCTTTAACTCAGCATTATGTTTCTGAGACTCAAAAATACATATTGTTGCATATAGTTATACTTCACTTACTTTCATTGTTATATATCATTCTCATATAAGAATATACCATGTGTTTATCTGTTTTAGTTTGATGGATATTTAGGTTGCTTCTAGGGTGTAATTGTGTTAGGCCTCCCAAATTTTCCCATTATTTCAATGGATTTTTTATATTTAAAGCTTTAATACATCTGGAACTTACTTTGTTGTAATAACTTGAATAAGAATCCAACTTATTGTTCCCTAACACCAGTAAATTTACTAAATATCTTTCTCATGCCAGGCATTGTCATTGGTGCTGTGCACTAAATGATCACACATGCACATTGGTTCTTCTTCTGGACTCTCGGTTCTGTCCCACCAATCTCACTGTTACCATAACTGCACTGCTTTAGTAACTGTACTTTCAGGTAGGTCTGAATCCTGGGTGGGGCTATTCTTACATCGTCATACTCTCTGAGGATTGTTCAATTTATTCGTGACTCGTTATTTATTCATGTAAACTTAAAAGCAACTTGTGAAACACACTCTCCCAAACTTTAGAATTTTCTTAAATTTAAAAGTTAGTTGAGAGAACGCAATGGCAGAAGGACGATGTGTTGCCACCCTTCAAGGCCAGGCAGGTCCATGGTATTTGTGCAGATGGAAAAATATTCACGGAGCCGCTGGGATGTCTGGCGTGCCTTTATTCACGGGTGGGCGAGCCACGCACGCTGCAAGCTGCATGTCTATCTTCCTGTCTCATGTCCTGGCCCCGGCTCCTCAGCATGGCACCCATTGTGGCCCCTGTCCCCTTGTGTGTGTCTCATCATCATCGCCCCCAGCAGGGAGTCCCTACCTGTTTAAGTACCAGAGGGGAACAAAGCTGGAACACTGCCAGAACATTACGTAATATAACATAATTCTGTGCATGCGAGCCTACTTCATGTTATGGGAACAGTTTATGGGACCCAGTCTCAAGGCTATGAGAACGCTAGTTATCAGGCCCCTCCAAGGCTATGGGAACGCTGCTCCTCTCAGTTACCCAGACACCTGGGCGAGGAAGCCAGACTGCCTCCACTTACCCTACAGGTGACCTCTGAGAATTCACCCCTTCATAAAAGCAAAGAAAAAACTGGCAAAACTATATTCAGAACCCTGGATATTAACCAAAGGCTTGCAGCAACCTGGGGAGAATATCCATGGGCAAGAAAATGGCTGAATCTCAGTAAAGACAACAAATTTTGTGGCATTTTAAACTCACCCTATTCCATCTCCTATTTCCCGCTCTTCCCAGCCTTGAAAAGTAGTAGCCCACACTCCTAGAACGGGGAGGATCAAAACAGGGCCGGGACCCTTTCAGAGCTCCATTGCCAAAGAGAAACCATTCTTTCACGAGCCTGGTGGTTCCCCAGAAGGCTCCACTCAAAAGGCTTGTGTTCAGTCCACCCCACACTTACCCAGTGCTTAACGTTTCTGTGAAGCAGGGATATTCTTTTAGTGCCTTAACAGCAAAGTGGCCTGAGGCAATGGATAACAGGCGAGGCATATTGTAGAATAATCAAAAAGCATGAAAGGAATGGCTGGGGAATGAGCCACCCATAGGAGCTTTGCAATGCTCAGATGTATTCCTGGGAATCTAGACAGCCACCCCTATGCATAAGGGCCATGAACATACTCGAAAAGGACCTGAAAATGTCCTAGGCTCTCACCTCTACTTGACCTCAAGGTCTGTACAAGTAGCAGCTGAGGCTACAACAGAGACACAAACTACCAGGTGGTTGGTGAAGGAGTCTCCTAACACACACAGGGAAGCCCTTGGCCAAGACAGGGAGACTTACTGGTGCCAGGCTTTTCAGGAAGTCTCTGTCCAGTCATTGACTGATCACCAAGCTGGCGAGTACAAACTGCAGTGGCCACAACAGCCAAGATCAAGACTTCACTCATTCAGAATGAGTTCAGAAGTCACTAAGCAAACAACGACGACAAGAGGCAGAAACGACAAACCTAAGAAGTGGGGAGAATGGGATTCCCCGAGTTGCCATATAGTATTATTTGAAATACTTAGCTGTCAACAACTACGAGACAGACGAAGGAACAGGAGAGCACGTCCTAAACGTCGGAAAGAGGCAATCAATAGACACTCTGTGTCTGAGAAGTTGAGACAATTGGACTCACGAGACAAAACACTTTGCATTAACTTACCTTAAACATGTTCAAAGAGCTCAAGGAAGCCATGTCTAAAGAACTAAAGGAAAGAATAGGAACGATGTCTCATCAAACAGAGAACAGCAATGAAGAGACAGAGGTCATAAAAAGGCTGGCGTGGTGGAGCCACGGCAGAGTGCAGCTGGGCGGCCGCTGCCGAGGGGATGCTCGCCCATCTCCCTGCTCAGCCCCTTGGAATGTCTGAACGGGGCAAAAGAACCTTCCCACTGGGCAACACCAACGTTGTATTCCTACCATGGCAAATATTGTTTTTGTATTTGTGAATTAACTGCGAAACTAACAGGAAAGCAGACAACCTGACTACTCAACTGAAAATTAAAGACATTGTCTAGGATTAACGTTATCACATACAGGTAAAGAATAACCTAGCTTATCTGCATCTCTAGAAAGTCCTTCCTTGACTTCTTAACACCAACAGAAGTTTCTTCCTTCTATTCATGTAATTATGCCCCCTCCCTTTCTCATTAAAAACAAAACAAAACAAAACAAAAACAAAAACAAAAAAAACCACAACCCTGCCTTATGCCCTAATCAGAATATAATTTGGGTTTCTGTTTGAATCAGTACTTCCTAAGGAGCTATTTTTGAATCTCAACTAAACACCTGTTGCTTCTCACTGCGCTTTTTATTTTTTGGTTAACAGCACCAAATAGAAATCTGGAGTGGGAAAGTACAACTGAAATGAAAAATTCGTTGGAGGGACTCCCTCAAAAGTTAAGGAGAGGTGGTTGCCAGAGAGGAGAGGGGTTAGGGGACTGGGTGAAAAAGGTGAAGGGATTAAGAAGTACAAAATAGTAGTTACGAAACGGTCACAGGGATGTAAAGGACAGCTTAGGGAATATAGTCCATAATATTATAACAACGATGTATGGTGCCAGGTGGGTACTGGAAATATCAGGGGGGAAACTCTTTGTAAAATATGTTGCTGTCTAAACAGTATGCTGTACACCTGAGACTGATACAAAATGATATTGAATGTAAACCGTAATTGAGAAATAAAATTTTTATATGTTAAAGAGAGAAATATAGAGATATATTGAACTTTATCAAAACTAGGAACT